AAATTTGATTCTAGAGCTTTTGCTAAAACTGTTGCTTCTGTGTTTCCAATTTGACATTCACTCAGATCTAGTGTGTAAGTTGATGATGAAGTAATCAACAATTTGAGTAATCTATTTACTGTTTCACTTGATGGCCGTCTATTAGGGTCTTCATCCCAGCATTTGGAATATATATCAATATATTGTTCAGGGGTTCCAGGAAATGGCAAATCACGAGAACCATTCAATCTGTGTAAAAAAACTTCATAATTTGTGGTAGCCCCTTCACATGGGATTTTTCCACTTGATATCTCCCAAAGTATCACTCCAAAACTGAAGATATCTGATTGTTTCCCACGCTTATAAGATTTGTCTTTAAAAGATAATGGGTCAATGTATGCCATATTTCCTTCACCTTTTGATGTAGACACAATCTGTTTAAGAGTATTAGACAGTCCAAAGTCTGTAATCTTTGTAATGCCTTCTTGGAGGAGAATATTTGTTGAGGACTAATTCCAATAGATATAACAGTAAATATAATAATTAGTTTGAATATTAAATTATATGTATATATGTTATATTAATATGCCCATCATAAAAAGCTGTGTATCAGCACATACCAAGTCCTTGTGAACAATTTCGAGTTTATGTAAATATAACAACCCATCACTAATCCCCAAAGCCAGCTTGTACTTCTCCTCCCATGTCAGCTTAGGGAAATGCTTTTGCAAGTGTTCAAACAAAGTTCCGCCGTCTGCATATTCAAACACCATGCGATAGGGGCCAGATAAATCTGTTTTCAGGTTATAAGTTTATAGAGTTGGATAAGTTATAATCATTATGTACAGGAAAACATAGCTAATAGCATCAAATATTACTCGATGTACCTTGGCATATTCCTAAGAACCGAATAACGTTTGAATGATCATCCGCTTGTTTATGAACTTTTAGCTATTAGATTATGGATTCAGTTTGTATAACCTTCAAATGCCATACAACAATTACGACGATCGATTGTTAATATTAATGACTTACCTCTTTGACAAACTGCTTATATAATTCGTCTTCACATTCGTACCGATTTTGAAACAAAGTTTTCATTGCGACTAATTTTCCAGAATGCTTTATCCGGGCTTTGTATACGACACCATATCCTCCACCACCGAGAGGCGTACGATCTATAATGTCATCTTCCGAATAGTGTTTGATAAAGCCTTCCTGGATACTCTTAGTTAACCACTCTCTATACGTGTTGTTGGACGATTGACTTTGGGACATATTTTGGGGAGAATCGTTAGTGAAAGTATGCCAATACATACACATAGATATATGTCATACGTAATACAGCCTCGACAAGAATGGTAATAAGAAGATCAATCGTGGAAGGAACAACGAGGTGCTGCATAGTCAATGATAGAACTAACGGTGGGATAGCCAAAGGGGTTCCCGGGCATATTACGATTTTCATTAAAGGCACGATTACGGAACTTGAAGATTATGCCTACTGGTGGCATCACGCCAAGGCTGAATATATTGATATTAGTTATCATTTCAAAAATCTAAACGTTACGAAGAACTGGCCGATTCTCAAAGAATGGATTCAGGAATATTGTATCGAACGTTGCATGAACCTAATTGTACGATCCGAAAACGAGTCCGTAATATCGACTCATGAGATATTTAGTTAAAAATTCCGTTTCAGAGAAAAAGTCCGTCATATCGACGTTCAACTTTCACTGTAAGAATCACGTGCCTCGCAATTGTAGAAAACAGAGATTGCGTTTATTACTAGGTCCCATGCATTTAGTTGTACTGGATGTTTGTTGAAAAAAAAATACAATCAAGTGAAAACATGCTGCCGTTGTCGTTTGTTTGAGCTTTACAAAAACATTATATAAAGGACGTTCTATTATATTATAAACATATTCTAACTTATTCGAACACACCCTAAATTGGGTAATAATATTATTAAGAAATATGGCTCTTACAACCCATCTCCTGCTGTAAAGTCTTCATTATGAATGGCTGTTTAATCCAAAGGATCCTAACTAGCCAACGGTCAAAGGGAGGTCACCATAATTGATCACTCATTACCACTCTATTAATCCTCCCTTTCCCTCACCGAAACTCCCACTCATTGATCCACGATAGAGATCTTTAATGATTTTCCCCTCAATTACCGTCTTCTCTATAATCGCCTTGCAATGGCACGGATTTACTCTTCCATACCAGATACCCTGGCCATCTCGATAGATTATAATATTACCAGCGAACTTGTGACCTAAATATATAAAAGCGTTACCGATTCAGCCGTGTATGAAATAGTAGTGACAAATAAAAAACTCCAGCTTCTCCCTTGTTCTCACCTCCGACATGACTAGACATATACACAGCTACACCATCGCTTTTCGATTGAACGTCCAATTTCTTCTCCTTTAATACTTTTTCAAACTCGTTTCTTAAAAGCGGAGCAGTGACTCCACATCTTTTATCTCTTCTCCCATGTGAACATATAAATATTATTGCTTTGTTTGCTATTTTCTCGGAATTTATACTACTACTTTCAGCATTTTCGGCGGGTTGTGTGTTGGCCGATAAGTAAGTTTGGAAAAATTGATCCGCGTGCTTCACAGATAGGTTTCGGATTACAATATATTCAGGGAATAACATGACGTCTTGCGTTGTGGAAAAGATGTCAGAGTTTGATTTGCGACTACAATTTGTAATAATAATGCGCGGTTTACGTTTTGATTCAGACGAGCTTGCTTGTTGATCTGATGCGACGTTGTTAGATGAGTCTGGCGATTTCTTCTTTGATTTGGTTTTGATTAATCCACCTTTTGTTAGCTTACTGATAACCGACGCTAAACCTTCTGCGTCTTCGATGTGCTTACTCCAGTTTTCTTTTCCTGTTGATATTGCTACATGTTTGATGTATGGTTTGACGGTGCCTTCTAATGGAGTATCCCGGTCGATTCGTAAGAATCTTGGATATTGAGGATGTAATGAACATGGATCTAGACATGCGTAACAAGAATCTTCATTTTTGATATCATCCAACGTCAGCAGTTCGTCTTGGGATGGTGTGGTTTGGTTTGGTAACGACTGAGGTTTTGCTACTTTAGCATCTGACGCAGACGGTTGTTTTCCGTTCTGACTCTTATCAGAAAGCGACGGACCCAACGAAAAACTCGACTGGATTGCTTCCAATATGCGTGATAGTTTATTTGGCTTTTCCATGGTTTCGATGGGGGCGGAGTGTGTGTAAGAACTATTTATATTACTATTACTCCTTTGGACCCCTGGAAAGTTCTAATCACAAATGTGATCATAAATGGAAACGCCCGATCTGATAAGTATCTCTCGATTTCCTTGCCATAACCCCATAGATAATAAACTGCCCGGAACATCCTTTACATGATTGATATACTCGTCATGATGATATGGAGTACTACAATAATCGCATGCATGCATGTGTAGCAGGGGTTACATTTAATCATGTGATTATAGTTGAAGATTAATATGTATATTAATATATTTTATATATTTTGATCGTTTAGCCAAGAAATATTTAAATTTCTTGGCTAAACGCCTCCAATATCAAAATATACAAAATATACATTAATATGCATATTTAATAACCTCGTGACTTGTCTGTGATCTGCAGATCCGAAAATTCGAAAACGATGCCATTGACTATAGTGCTTACGATTAGACACAATTATAGCATCGCTGTTAACAGTTTGTCTATTCGTGTAGTCCGTTCTTTTGGTGCTATACGTTATCTCAGAGACGGTTTATGTTACCCCAACAAAAAAGCATCCGGCAACTTTAAATCGTGCAGATGATAGATGAATGTGATCCAAATTTATAAGAAAAAAAAAACCTCCTTAACCGCGTAACAACAACAATAACGACATGCCACTTTAATTAGTGTTAGCATACACAGCAAAGCCACAACCAAAATTTGGGTTCCGAAAGTAAAGTTAGAGCATTATTCGATATCAATTAGTATTAATATGTTAATCACTAGTTCATATAATATGATTTATTTGGTATGCAAAGATTAACTTTTGCATATATGTTCATACTACATTATCGTAAACTTCTACTCTCTTCTCATTATCAGAGTCGTTAGCTAAAACTTCAGCGCGCTCTTTCTTGCCTTTGTAATAAAACTGTCAGACCAATGGCAATAAGCACTCACCATGCAATATATGCAAGAGTTGTATCCAATTGTTGCTTTGTTTCTCCAGCCAAACAGAGCATTGGCAATTTTCCAACCATTATTCGTACAACACTCGAGTTGCCACAAGACAGTTTCGGATCCTTCTGCTGCTTTGTTTAATTCGTGTACGGTTGTTGTAAACAAGCCACTGGAGATAAAAAATAAAAGCGCAGCCATCGTGCCGAAGAAAATATTAAGCGATATAGTATTTGATTCCTTGTAAATAAGATAGCCAACAGCAATGCCAGCAAGAATCCCGGTGATAACGAGGATAGGGAGACCAGATGCGGAATTATTAAAGCCAATCTAGTGATAATAATGTATTATCAGTGTGCAATTAGTTGCAAACTCATACGTGACACGTTCTTACCAGTGACAACACTGAATGGGAGAACGACCAAAGCCCATTTTTCTCCCGTCAAGACACCGTTCGGTTGCATCCTTCAGGTTTCCTTCCTACTTGGTCGTCCACTACTTGACCCTTATCATACCAAATGACATTATTAACGTTACAATAGCAGTAGCAATGAGAAAACACCCTCTGCAATGATACAGTGACAATTAAAGTTAGACATTATGACGTGTATACTTTGACTATCGCAACGATGACGTTTAAGTAGTTACCCCATATGTCTTCACTATCTTTCCAAAGAGATTAGTTCTCTGAAGAGAATAAAAAATGCGGGTACGTCAAATAAATAAACCATATTTTTGGCAACACTTATGTCAATAGCGATTAGGAAGACCAAGTGGTCGGATGCACAGAACGGCAAAAATCGGAGATGAAGCATGGGTGAATCATGATAAGAACAGCTGTCATAGATGTATATTAACTTTGAAAAAAATTTTTATACGTGAAACTGTAAATAAATACAGATTATTTTAAACCAATTCTGATATCTAAAACTCAGTTTACAAAATATGAAATTTAACGTGATCGGTGTCGTAAAATTACCGAAAATCAGGAATTATCCACACGTTACACGGCGAAAAATGTTTCCGAATTTCTCCCCAAGTTGTCTATTCGTCATTTACACTGCCCTAAAAAAGAAAACATTTCGCCGTGTAACATGTCGGATGTGTGTAACATGTATGTCGGATCATAATTTCAATTTAAGGAGATTCTAAATAGTATGTTGTACAATAATCGCTTATTTGCTATTGTGCGAATCTGATAAAGAATTTGTAACATGGACGTGAGAACCGAGTAGTACTTTATACTAAACTTTAATATAATTAATTATGTAGGAACTTTTACTTATAGACTATTGATTGTCAGTCTCATACAACGTCCACTGCTGATTCGAACTAAACCACTGATTGGCCACAGTATCGACATATGGGACTCACTGTTCGACGTACGATGGTTAGAGAAAAGTTTTTACAATGCAATATGCCAAGCGGAAATATCTGATAATCTGATAATTCAAAGTGACACCGCATAGGTAATACACGGAGATGATCGGCAGTAAAAGAATTCTATTATAATTACTATTATTACTCATACACCAATATAATCGATTTGACATTTATCTGAGCATTATTTAATATGACTGACAGGGGCCCAATTATTAATTAGTGAATCAAATCCGGATGACACACGAGGCTATGTCTAGTAAATCAGAAGTATTTCTTTGCCAACTATTACATTATCAGATTCGATTAACGTACCGATTACTTCTTTGATAAAACTTGCAAGAGTACATTCCTTATCGTTCCCAATATATCCTTGTTAAGTAATATACATATTGCACAAATTTTTTAGTCGGAGCGTGCCAAGGATAGTACGATCGAGACTATGAGGAGTTATGGTTGGATCATAAAGAAACGATTAGTAACTTCTGTGAAAAGCATTTCACATAAATGCAAGTTTGTTTGCGTATATCGCTAGGTTATACTTCTACCCAAGATGTAGTCGCAGTGCTGTTCACAAGCCTTCGTAACACCCATCATAACACTTCTCTTTTTGCAAACAAGTGATCCGTTTCTCGCGCAAATCATTATTTTCGACAATAAAAGTTAATTTCTGACGTAATCGGACAATGATGACCGTAACACTATTGTAAAAGAATCAGATAACTTGCTTATTTGTTTTGATATATTCTTATTAGGTAATTGTCATATGTCATAATACATAACAAGGATAATTGGGAAGGATAAGGAAAATGACCAATTATTTCTAATCTGATAATGCGCCTTCATGCATCATTTAAGTGACTAGATTTATATGGACAAACACATGGTCCCATTCGTACATTTTGAATCACCCCATGCCCTACTATCAAATGGTTGATTAGAAAAATTTGAGAACTCCGAGTTACATCAATAATTTGTGTTCATACTAATACTAATAACACTCCGACCCGTTTACCAGCTTCCGTGTACTACCAGCCTATCTATGCAGTGTTACTTTAAATTATCAGATTATCACAGTGCGCCTAAATAAAGACCTCGAAATCAAACACGCTTGCCTTTGGTTTATAAAAAAATTTCATTTGCGTCGAATACTGGGATCAATCTATGGTTTATTTCCGAAACTCGGTTCTCACGTCCATGTTCCCAAAGCTTTATCAGATTCTATCAGGACAAATGAAACCAAAGAAACTTCTTATTACTACAGAACTAATCGCAAGCTAGTAGGCGAGTTATTATTCGAACATTGCCTGTGCATGAGGTAGCGATGTATTATAAAATGCAGGCTTATAAAATGCAGGCTTGTAAGGAGTATAGCGTTCCAGTGTTAGTAATGGGTTATTTAGGAACCAGAACTTAACTAGCCACTAAAAAGAAACTTATCTAAAAAGGTTGCTTCGTATGCTAAAGTAATGAAGACTATTAAAGAAAACAGTCTTTTTCGCATCAGCAACAATTAGCTGATTTAAAGAAATAATCCTAATAAAATTTCTTTGTGGATGTAGTGCCAATATATCTGGAAGAGTAATGCTATATATAGAACACTTGAAAATTACTCCTAACCAAAACCTTCTTACCTATTGATAAATTAATTTCTTCCTCAGTTAGTGCCAATGTTTCCTGGTTGAACAGCGTTTGGCCTCGATATATTTTAATTGGTTGCAGCAGAGTTTTTCGATTCTGTAGTTACTTACTGTCTTAACATACGTACGTAGTAGGAGCTTGTCTTTACCTTGCTTGTATGAATCTTAGGCAAATATCCTAAATTTCAAAAGCCAGTAATAGCAATAAAAGCAAATACCGATTTAACAGAATACGCCCGGTTTGCTTTGAGTCAATTCTGTCCGCGTTAGTCTCCGTTTTATTAATGTCTTGATCGATGGTTTGTGTTGTACAGTTCAGTCTCAACAGTCACCGACATTTGACAATTAAATGAGAGAAGATTGGCATAACGAGCGATGCAATTATCGTGAAATTAACACTAAATTTAGCGCAGTGTGTTAGCTAGTAATATAATCAAATCTATATACCTCCATAGAAAACCGAACAACCTCTCATAAAGAACATTTTATCATGAGCGCTATGCCAACCCATATAATCTACACCTTTAGCGTTCAATCGTAGGTGTAGACAATAAAAGAACGCAAAACTCCAATCCTAACATTACTATTATTACCAGTACCAATAATATCACTAATTGGCTTCCATTTGATTAACGCAATCAGCGCACAAGTTACATGTTTACAATTGAAAATATTTTTACAGCCAGCGAATCGTTATAGGCAAATGACACCGTTAATGAAATGACCCAAGTAACTGCATTGTACAATATATCGTCCAGCAGTGGCAACAGCGTATTTTTATCGATCCAGGTTTTCCCGAAACATTGGACAGCACGACAAAGGTAATTGGGAAAAGTGTGTTAAGAATCGCGTCGTATAAATCTTGGTAAGACGTATAAGAGTCATCGATAATAGATGCTGTTGCAAGTTGGACGAGTGAGAAAAATACAACACTATAGAAAAGAAAATTCAAAGCTCTCGTCAATGTCTGCTTAGCACGATTGTAATGAGACATTAGGAGACTTGGAATTAATTAATAAACATATTTCATATAGTAAATTCATTTTCATTTTGATTTTGTTTCCATGAATACCACTGATAATATCACTCCTACTGAAAACGTATGCGACGCCTGTTTAACACATTTTTCATGAACATATGTGTGGAACCACCAAGTTGGTGACTGTTGATGTTTGGAAAACGTTTCAGCTTATGTTCGCACCAAGCACTCGTATACTACGATGCAATTTCACATTGAAGCAATAATGTGAAAAAACACCGGCAAATGAAATGTTTTATTGTAACTCGTGAGCTTTAACAACCTCAAACATAAATGTGATGCAAATCTAACTGTATGTGAGTTTTAAATTGTTATTCCAGCCCCGTCTAAGTAACAGTTTCAGTATACCCGCAATGTTAAAATAGATGTATTGAAACCGCCAAGTTGGTTTCAAACCGACGCGTAATTTATGTTCGAAACGGAGACTAAGTAACGGTTGTGTATCAACTGCGTGAACTAGCCTGTGATACGCGTCATTATTAACATTAGTCCCAATAACATACAACTTGAAATATACTCATTTTATTAAATTTGCTAATAACTTTATTTTCTCAACAAAAATGCAGGATATTTGCCTAAAGTTTTTCCTTTCGATAGCAGGTATTTTGCGTTTTCGAATGAATGTAGATTATGTAAATTTATTTTGTGGATTATTTCCAAACAATTTTAAACTTTTAGGTGTATAACTAAATGTTAGTTTTTCGGTAACACAAAAGTTGTATATGTATAATTTTTTTGATTATATTACTAGCTAACACATTGCAATTTTTGTACGGTAGCTGATATTGTCAATATTTCGCATTTAATTGCAAATTTGGGGATGGTCGGTGACTACCCTAGATTCAAAATTCGATGTCTCAACGAAAAAGCAAGATATTCGAGCAATTTTTTATAAACATGATAGCAGTTTTTAAATGAATATAATATAAATACGTGGATTCATTTAAACATTCGAGTCGCATAACAATAATCCAATTTTACGTCTTTTGTAATATACAAGTCAGCTCTAGGTAAATTCGTAATTTTACTATCTAACACCTTGCATTTTTTTTGTGTACGTAGTATTAACTTCACGATAATTGCATTGCTCGTTATGCCATATTCTCATTTAATTGCAAATGTAGAGGGCGCTCGGTGACTTTTGAGACGAAACTGTATTCATTAACGGATCTACCGTACCGCACTGGTTCTAGTATCCCGGATTACTATTACTTTACCGGAACATCTGCTATTCTGGTTTAGTATTAGTACCCGGGGGGGGGGGGGTCATAAGAAAAAAAAACTTGTGTACCTTAGCATCTCCACAGCATGCCTACACGCGGCATAAAAATATTTGTTATGCAAATACAGTTGAATGATTCACAGATGTGTTTAGAAATCAGTATTAATATCAATGTTTTGAAGATATCTTTCATAAGCAATTTATAGCAAATTGATTCTATGAAATAGATCACAATAACTTTTGTTGAGACCCGTATTAAGCAAGGGGTACTATACTAGAACCGGTACGGCATCCGGAATATGTAGTTGTTCGGAATAAAAATTCCTGAATATATTGACAGCAATCACGGTAGATGTTGGATCAACAATTTCTCTATTAATATTTATCATCTATATTACGAATGGTCTTATGGATAGAATCGCCAAGCTATGTAGAGGCAATTCGGTGTGCACGAGTGTCGTCGTGTCATTGTATCATCATGCCAATGTGTCGGAATTCGGAAGACATTTTCGTTTTTATGGGTGCGAGTAATTTTTGGTATCTGTCGATCTGACTGTTGCAGAGAAAATAGTTTATACAAATAGCAATGAAAAGATGGGGAAGGAAATTGTTTAGAATGACACTGCTACATTGAGCAGAGACCAATTGGGAGAGCATCTGCGTGATATATTCCATGACAGATCAGCTATTTACTGAGGCCAAGGCTGATCTAACAGGAGGGGAGGATGTGTGCTGGAGGTAGAAGAGACGGTGGTGAATAGCAAAAGATGTTGCATAATTGAGGAAGCAATTATTGCAGGGGGGAGGTTCGATTTTATAACAAAACTTGAGGGCTGTTGTTAGTGGTTATGAAGTGTAGAAGGAATTTGTGTAATTGAGACTATGTTAACTTAATAATCCAGAGTTGGGAGTTTGGCCGTTAGGTCCAAGTTTATAACACAAATTGCTCATATACCGAATTAATAGAGGTTCAATTTAATATACTCAGTACAAACGCGCGGAATGGGGTAACAGATACGGTATACACTAAAAGGTATAAATAGAGTATGTTTCTATCGTCAACTCGTCAGTTCAAAGTATTTGGATTTGATTTAGTTGAGTTCAGACCAAACTGCTCTTTGGGTATAAACAGTCCTTATTACGACGCCAATAATAATAAATTCAAACGATGAAGCGAACGGATAATTATCATCCGAATAAAGCTTTCGTGCATTAATTAGATCCATAGTCAATTAATCATTACTATGGGTTTATCCTCTTCCAAAGAGGATACCTTAAAAGAAAAGAGTGAGCAATTTACGAAAGACTGACAGGATACTAATTTGTATAGGACGAGAAGTACTCAAATTTAAATGAGCAATTAGTCTATGTCATACAGTTAATATTGCTATTTAAGCCATTTACCTATATATTTCTTCTCTTTGAAATTAAATAGTAATAATAATAAGCAATGTCAACACAAAGAACTTTTCAATTAGACAACAGTATGCAACCGAGTAGGTCACGCGACTTGTAAAAATACTCAACCTTGAGTGTGGCGTCCCATCAATTTTTTTGGACTCCTGTGGCGCCGTGCAACATACCAACCCTAAACTTGTTAAAATCTCTGATTAATTTTTCGTCGCTTTCTTTTAAGTACACCCTGATCTCTTTACATAAATCATGGCAGAGTCGGTTAAGGAAAGCCAACAAGATGCGCCAGCCTCCCCTGAAATGACAAGTAAAGACTACTATTTTGACTCGTACGCACATTTTGGTGAGTTGCTCGTGATTGAAAGTGTTCAAAATATATGATTAGTTAATTAATACACTAGACGCAAAGCATGTCGCAGTAACTTACCATGTGTTATTTCGCGCAAATAGGCATTCACGAAGAAATGCTTAAAGACGAAGTCCGTACATTATCTTATCGCGCGTCTATCTATCAAAATAAGCATCTATTTAGAGATAAAATAGTGCTTGATGTAGGCTGTGGAACTGGAATTCTTTCCATGTTTGCAGCCAAAGCTGGCGCAAAGCATGTATATGGTGTATGTTTAAGTTTTTGGCCATGGAAGGCATGAGAATTGACTTGAGAGCGAGCCACTACGTTCAAATCGTGCTATAAGCAAAATCATAAATTTCTGGTAATCTGTTTGTACTTGTTCTTATCAACCCGACTTACTTTTTTTCCCTTTTACTCAACTCAGATCGACATGTCAAACATTATCGATCAAGCTCAGCAAATAGTTGCAGATAATAAATTCAGCTCCAGTACATATTCTCCCTCTTAATCTTATTTCCCAGTCTCAATCTCGCCGACCAGTCAATTTATCATCATTATGCTTGTTTGATACAACTCAGAAATAACTTTGATCAAGGGAAAGATGGAAGAAGTTGAATTACCAGTGAAAGAGGTTGATATTATTATCTCCGAGTGGATGGGGTATTTTTTATTGTACGAATCAATGTTAGATACAGTCCTGTTTGCGAGGGATAAGTTTTTGGTAGGTTGGAAGGAATGGGGGGAAGGGGAGATTACTAATGTAAAGGGAATTGGGGTATGAGAGGTGATTGCATGCGATAGATAGCTGGGGTAATATTGTATTGCATATTCTTACTTTCTGACGTTTGCAGAAGAAGGGAGGTCTTGTATTCCCGGACAGGGCTACATTATACCTTGCTGCTATTGAAGATGGGGAGTACAAAGAAGAAAAAATCGAATGTATCTATCTATAGTTCAAAGTATTTTTAGTATGTGGTCATTCACGTTTAATAACGAATTCTTCCTGGAAAGTCTGGGATAATGTGTATGGATTCGATTTTAGTTCCATCAAGTCGGTGGCTCTTAGGGAGCCATTAGTAGATACTGTTGATTACAAGGCTGTTTTGACAGATGCATGTGCTATCATGGTAAAGTATTCGATGAAGAATAACAATATTTTATCGATTCATTGCGAGATTGCTCGTAGAGTATTTACTATTCAATTTAAAAAAAATTTTTTCATTAATATCTAACTTGCTTAATTTTGTAAGGACATTGACCTCAACACTGTACAAAAATCGGATTTATCTTTCACTGTACCATTTGAGCTGACATCTCAACGCGATGATTACATCCATGCTTTTATAGGATGGTTTGACATTGCATTTAATGCCTGTCATAAGCCCATAAGATTTAGCACAGGTAGGAAAAGACTTGGGATACAAATGTATTTGGTTTAGCGGTAGTCGGCTGTGAAAAGACTTGGCTTTGCTCACTTTAATCTGTGAACGCACTTGTCAACAGGACCCCATGCAAAGTATACTCACTGGAAACAGACAGTATTCTACACGCATGAGACTATCACCGTCGAGAAAGGAGAGATCATCAAAGGGACAGTAACGTGTGCACCTAATAAGAAGAATAACAGGGACTTGGATATTGAGATTGCGTTTGACTTTCACGGATCGGTCTGTTCTGTATCTGAAGTGTGTAAATACAAAATGTAAGTGAAAGAAATTGTCTTTTATAGGAAAGAGAATGTTTGGTTTGTAGACGTTGATAACAAGTATTGATTTATATGCGTTATTTGTTCATTTACTTATATATACCGACACGTTCGTGCTTTATTAAATCACTTCAATTCTGCACTCTCCCGCGCGCGACCCAGGAGCTAGGTATTAAAGATTATCCGGAGGGTATTGTCGATTGCAAGCACGAGACGGACTCTTGGATGGTATATCGCAGCACTAACTAAATAAATCTCGAGCGAATGTAGAAAAACACTTTACATGGGAAATTTTAATAAGCATAGTGAAATTTGCGAAGACCCAATGCGAGGGGATATCTCAAAAGACTGCGTACTATCTATTATCATTAGAGTCCCAGAATTCACACAAAAAGTACAGACAATGCCTTTTATTTTACCATGGTGATTTAACACGTAATTTTCTCATTAGTTTATGGAGCACAGAGAGAATAAACCGAAAATTTTAGAAGAACTCTTGAGAATACTCTCGCCTACCAAAAATTGCTATAGTTCCGCGTATCGAATTTATATTAGTAATGCCCTTTATTTTTAACAGTACTTCAGCTTACATTTTAGTTCAGGTTCTAAGACATTTAAACGGGTAACTCTTGACATCTTATTTTTAAAGTCCTATAAAGATTAACGTATCTGCCCAAACAGCCATTAAATACGCAAGAAAATCATTGTTCCAGGAAACGATTGCTTATCCGCAACTTTTTTTTTTGACGATTGAAGAGATTATCAGGTAAACCGTACAGAAAAAGGAGACGTCTTCGAATGGATTCAGATTCAATAATAATAATGAAAAGTAAGCACCCTGATACCAAGCAGTATTATTTATCACGGTTAGCACCAATGATATAGAACTTGATAAAAAACCCATCCTGCATGTATTGTTACGGTCGGATGGTCTGGAAGAGCGATTAATCTTTCGCGTAGGGGTGTTGGATGTTCCCAGATTTAGCTTCGTGCTACCGCCCTTATTACGGTAGTTGTTCAATTAAGACTGAATTCTAAATCTACAAGTGACCTAATTTAACAATTATCATTAATAATTAAACAGGGCTATTACTATTACTATCTTCGATTTGGTTTTTCGACTAGTCGAGTTCCGTTAATTGTCTCTAATAAACTAATTAAACAAGTTTTGTTTCAATAAATAATTTTTGGCTCTCTAGGAGTACTAGATCAGCAGACAACCTATACAGCCGTTATTAGTGTGTCCGGTCAAATAAGGGTCCGTATTATTATTATTTCATCGACAATCATTTAACCGACCAAAAAAGGATAACTTCGAAATAATGTTGGTAAATATTTGTCGGTGAAATGAAATAATTACCGTCAAATAATTAACGATGAAAGAAAATAAATTTTCGATTTCAAAAGGAATCGATTATTTGATTATTATTTCCGTATAATTATTATAACAACAACATGAACAACATGAGAACTCGACGATGGGATAAGGGTCGCTTATATACCTTTAGCGACACTCAAAAAATCGAAACGGAGTTAAAAATAATTAAATAATCGTAATTTCTATGAAGAACCAATCATATTCTAAGTTGGCTAATGGCGTTTGTGCTGCACTCAAAAATCGACAGGATGTATCTGATACTGAAAATGCGCGATGCCGTACTGCCATTCTAAAATTAACATAGATCATGGGGAAGATTTTACCATGTGACTTGCATATCTGAGTCATCAGATCGGCTTGCCGCACGCTAATGAGGATAGGCAGAAAGAGCAAGTACAGTCGTCCCCTTCTATAGTCACGCAATGCAACTTTTGTTGGAAGTGTACTGATAAAGAGGTTGTGACTATATAGAGGTTTTTTTCTATAAGTTTAATAGCAATTGGTTCTCAACATGGTGTGCTTATAAAGAGGTTTTTTATATGATTTGCTTATAGAGGGGGTGACTGTAGAGGGGGGCGACTGTACATCTGTTTTATAAACATTCGTGTAACATCTACATTCGCGCATACAGTAGAACTAGTTATTCAAGGGTGCAAACATTTCAAGCTTTAACCATAAAATGAGTGTTTCTTCTTGTCAATACTACCTAATAATTATTATGTAAAATTTTCGATATCTACACTCCCTCCCTGGAACAAAGTATTGGAACAGCATTTTTTTAACTTTATGCATAATCCAGTATAATAACAATAAAATAATTTTTTTATATCAGTTTGTAGCTTGAGTTTTCAAGAATCTGTATGTAAATTTTGAAGCGCTTAGCTTTTTGGGATAACAAATAATTAAACAAAGGCAATTGCAATCAAAATCAATTTTGCCGATCTTTAGCTTTAAATTTTCATATTAAGAAAGAATAAATTAAACGTGAATATGTAAATAAATTACCATAGTAAATACAAACATGTGCTTTGTTCTCACCTTTTTTTTTTATTGCCACTTTTTTTATCTATATATACGTAATCGAATAAAAAAGATAAAGATTTCATGTCAGTGTTTTGATTTTGTCACGTTGTTTCAGATTCTTTTTTCGTATCTTGTTTCTTTTACAATGCCAAAAAATTCTGAATTGACAGAAGTTGATCGAGGAAAAATCTTAGGTCTTAGAGCAGGTGGAAGTAGTATTCGAAAAATATCTAAGACCTTTAAAATTTCTCCAACTACCGTTTGGAATACCATTGTTCAATATGCGAACTCTGATAATTTAAAAGTGGCAGACCTCGTTCTCCCAAACCCCAGACCATCCGACCGTAACACTCTCATGATCTCACCAACTACATCTACATCTGGGTTATTAGTGTAATAACTTTCACTTATACTTAAAACAGTGGTTATTTATGCTCTAATTTCAACTGGTTAAATTGCAAGGGTGCTTTTATTTGTTTAATTTTATTTAATAATTCTTTTTGAGTTCTGTTAATACATTTACCATGATTTATTTTATTTTTTTATTTATAATACTTGAATTCTTTTTTATGAGGAGATATTAAGTATATAATTACTTAATGTTTCTTTTATTTGAGCTTTAAAATTAAAAGCGGGGAAAGATAGCGAGATTCGTTGAAATATTAGACGAATAACTTAATGACAGCGAGGAAATAATAAGCAATTGAAATAATGGAGAAAATTTTAGTCTAAATATTTTATTCATTGCCATTATAAATTGGTTGTGGACAAGTAGTATCTTTAATTCATCTCTTGACAAAAGTATTTTGTAAAGGTAATCTTGGCGTTTGTAATCTAATGGAGGTGGTGTTAGTATTAAAATGGAGAAAAATTTGATTTTTCTGATAATTTCAGAAACACTTGTTTTTCTAGTTTTCAACAAATTAAAGCACCATTAGCACTCAGCTGTGTTTTGACAACTCCAGGATTGGCTGCTTCAAATTTCTTAAAGAAATCCCCAACACAGAAATAAGATCCAAGTATTGAAACCTTTTCCGTTGTCATAACGTTGAGCTTTGTTTAATCCCGCTGTGCTCGATCTTTTCACAACCTCAACAATATGTTTTACGCAATCTACAGTTGTTTTTCGATAACGGTTTTTAATCAATCCGAAACCATTATCACACTTGAATTTAGTATGCCCAGGTATCATAAAATTTAATTCGATACTTTCATAATAACAGCAAATTATTAATACAGGTAAAATCAAATGGTAGCATTATTTTTATTCTGACCACCCGCGTTGTCACAAGTAATTTTTAAATGTTTTTTGCTTTTATTCAGTCTCTTAATCCCATCCTCAGCGTACCATTAGGACCTTTCCCTATTATTTCGTTCTCATCAAAAACGTAATTAATTTGTTCGCGTACTGCTTCATCAAATAAATGCACTTTACGTGGACTGAGATAATAAATTTTACTTACAACGAGCTATCCTTTTCAAAACCTGCAATAAATTACGATAGACCGATTTATAACTAGTTTCGCTTCGTAAAAGTATAAGCGATTGAGTAATTCGGTTTACATTTCTACCAAGACTTGGTAATCCACGTAAAATTTTCACAAATGTAGCAACGGTCATATCAATGGTTATTTTTGTTTTCCACCGTGGCACTTTTTTTACATTACCATGAACGCGCGGTATACCGTTCGTCGCTAGGTGATTTCTGACGTTTTTGAAGTGAATGCGACCAATTCCTAACATATTGAGGTATGTTTTCTGACAAAGTGGCGTATTGCGATTTCAATAGTAAAACGTTCTCTTATTAGTACGCGTTTTCTTTTTAAGGCGTCGACTGGCAGTTATCTCCACCATCCATTGTTTTCAACTGGGCCATTAAAAATATATCTTGTTCGGATCCAGAGAGAGCTCACGTAATTCAGCAAACCTTTTTCTCGGAATCATTTTTGAACAACCATAATTGCAACCTACCTCCAAGAAACGTATTGCTTTCATATTCTGTAGAACAATTATAATTATAAATTTCCATATACGGGTATTCCTATATATAAATTTTATCATTTTGTAGTTTGTTTTTCAATGCTACTAAAATAGTTATGATCAAAACTTACCATTTTTATCATAAGCATTGCCGGGAACATCACTTCCCCACTTAATTTAGCATTGCCTATTTTTTGTCTTGACTTGCCTTTCCATAATATATGTACATACATGTAATTCCATATCAATATATATTAATTCTTTATTTTTACTAAAATTGGTTCACAACATTTTATCAGTCATTCAATCAACAACTGATTTGAGATCAACATTACATGAGCAAACAGATATAGCTGTTATAAATTTATTTTCATGCCTAAAAGCCAACTATTTTTAAATCTTCTCAACTGGAAAGAAGCATTTGACATTTGCCCTATGTTGTTCAATACTAATTGTTGGTCTGCGCTTCCATATGCTAATGCTATCAAATGGGTTAATATATGCACATAGTAAAGCATATAATTTGGTTTTAAGATCTTCAGTAAGAAATCTAAATGGATCTAATGAGAAAACTCCCCAGTGTTGTTCAAAGTCTTTCCAGGACTTAAATTGCAACCTTAAATTGCTCTCAGTTGCACCTAATGACCAATAAAAGCACAAATAAGGCAAATCAAGATTAGCTAACTCTGATCCCTCAAAGACTGAAGATGGTGACAATCTTGTAGTGGCTGCTTCAGTATAAGCCTGCCCAGAAGTTGAATAGTTCTTTACTTGTATCAAGATAAATGAATACTTTTCCTCTGATGTATTATTACTCATCTTGACTGGCAACAGAAGATCACCACCACGTGCATTGCGTCCCAAAATTGCCCCAGCACCACGTTCAAAGAGGCATTTAAGAACCTGGCAACTTGGTGGGTCATTAAGCTGAACAAAATGTGTAAGGCACAGTTTGGACTGCAGAAACATTGTTTTAAGCTTTAAAGATTTAAGTCTGTTGTCACGTTGCTTAAGAGTTTGATAATTTCCAAAAAGTGTGTTCAGAAAATCTCTCACAGATTTTTCTTGTGTATAAAGAGAATCACCAGATAACATATGTTGCCATCCAAGAATCAAGATAATGCGTGCAACTAGCTCTCCACGAAAACCTGCTTCAACAAGTCCATTCTTCAGTGAATATTCGAGTCTATCAAGTACAAATGTTTGATTGTCTGTAACTTCAATAATCTTCAAAGCAGCCTCAGAAAGTATAGGTTCTGAGGGATATATTACCAAGATATTCTCTCTATCTTGTGAAACAGCAATACTAGTAGCCATATAACTACCCACAAGTAGATGAGTAAGCTGTGACTGAACTGAAATATCCAGAGAGACTAAACAGCC